TATTTAGTCGATTTGGGGCATTCGGGTTTTCTGTAGGGGGCATCACGATCGCGCCGCCCTAATAAACTCCTATACAAAAGACATTTTGCATAGGGGGGAATCGAACCCAGGCTTCACGTTTGGAATTCAAACGCGTTATCCACTTCTCCAAGATGGACACAAAATTCATAGGGCAAGAAGATAATTATATCTTTTACGTCAAAAATTTTTCCGAAACTTCATTTTCTTTCTGTTTCAATTTCACGTCATTTTTAATTGGCACTATTTGGAGGGGTCACAAAGCTTTATCACATGAGTTGGGGGTTTTACTAAGCCTATTTCTTAAAGGGTGTATCCCCCATGCTTCCAGCGTGCTGAGCTTGGGGGGAAGGTGTAGTCAGTTGGCTCCCGGGATTTTACTAAGCCTATTTCTTAAAGGGTGTATCCCCCATGCTTCCAGCGCGCTGAGCTTGGGGGGAAGGTGTAGTCAGTTGGCTCTCGGGATTTTCCTAAGCCTATTTCTTAAAGGGTGTATCCCCCATGCTTCCAGCGTGCTGAGCTTGGGGGGAAGGTGTAGTCAGTTGGCTCCCGGGATTTTCCTAAGCCTATTTCTTAAAGGGTGTATCCCCCATGCTTCCAGCGCGCTGAGCTTGGGGGGAAGGTGTAGTCAGTTGGCTCCCGGGATTTTCCTAAGCCTATTTCTTAAAGGGTGTATCCCCCATGCTTCCAGCGTGCTGAGCTTGGGGGGAAGGTGTAGTCAGTTGGCTCTCGGGATTTTCCTAAGCCTATTTCTTAAAGGGTGTATCCCCCATGCTTCCAGCGTGCTGAGCTTGGGGGGAAGGTGTAGTCAGTTGGCTCCCGGGATTTTCCTAAGCCTATTTCTTAAAGGGTGTATCCCCCATGCTTCCAGCGTGCTGAGCTTGGGGGGAAGGTGTAGTCAGTTGGCTCCCGGGATTTTCGTTCAGATATTTTTGTGAATTCACGAGTGAATTTTCGGGAATATTTTGAATTTTGATTGCGGCTACATTCAATTTGACCCCAGGATTCTATTTCACGCGTGGGGGCATGACGTCCCCATAAATTATTAGAATGCCCCTTTTCGACTAATTACCAGCACCCGAGTAACTGCTGATCGTGGAGAAGAAGTTCATCTTCGGTTATCGCACTTGTGCTTGTCGGAAGATTTTCATTACTTTCTGGAACCATTATTGTCTGTAAAAAACAATTAATTTCAGTGAAATTAATTGGAGAAACGTTTCTATTCAAGAAAAAAGATAACGGAACGACAAAGTTGAATTTGTAATGAGAAATGAAGAAAAAAAGGGAAACAACGATTCGATTCCAACTCCGGTTTTTTTTATTCACATTTTTTCATCTATTTACATTCTATAAAGTTTTTTAACAGAATAATACACGTGAATTAGTAAAAATAAGCTTAAAAAATCGGATCCTAAAAAATATGCACATTGCATCATCACGCGCCACGTCTGGTGGCCGTGGCCGAACTTTCTGCTAAACACCGGGCACTACGACAATCCAAACTCAAGTTGGACGCAGCTGCCTCTGACTGAGCAAAAACCAATCAAAATTGCGAAAGCGGCGAAAAAACGAGAAAGACGCCATGGGCACGAGAGATACGCCTTCTGGAATTGTTTGCGCATTTGCAGTTTTTCGAAAATTTTCAGCGAAAAATCTGGAATTTCTGGGGAATTCTAGAATTTTCTGGAGTTTTCTGTCTCAATTTTAGATAGAAAACAGAATGAACGATGTTTCTACGAAGGTTTGGTCAAGAAAAAAGCATTTTCCGGTCTAAAAATATAAATATTTATTATTAAACTCAGATGTCAACCCTCAAAGGAAGAAAACAGCAAGTAGATGAAGAAGGATGTGGACCAGCGGAAGGAGCCTCAGAAGAAGTTGGCGAGCACAGCGGTGACGATGGCTCCTGAGGAAAATCAATCGATATTTGCCACGTGGCATTAAATTTACCGAGCGCAGAATACGTGGCAACTCCACTAGCCGTCGTGGATTCCGCCTTCTTCTCTTCCTTAGCACCGGATCCCTCAGCGGCAGTGGCCATCTCGAAGACGACGGCGAGAAGAGCAAGAACGAAGAGAGCTGTTTGGCGGTTCATTGTGATCGGAGCGATCGATAACTGATTTTCTTCTGGAAGCTTCCTTCTTTTATAGGGAAAGCTCGGCACCGGCACCCCAGAAGCCCAGAGGTCAGGTCGCATCTTTTTTGATAAAAAAATGTGCACTGACCCTTGAACCTTCCCAATGACCTCTGCTCCAGGGTCTCCAGGGTGCCGGTGCCATGCTCTCGCTATAAAAGGAGCAAGAATCCACTGAACGAATCAGTTCGCTCCACTGATTGCAAACGATGAACCGCCAGACAACTGCTCTTCTCTTCGTTCTTGCTCTTCTCGCCGTCGTCTTCGAGATGGCCACCGCTGCCACGGAAGCCACTGTCAAAGCGGCGGAAACCACGACGGCTAACGGAGTTTCCACGTATTCTGCTCTCGGTGAGTTTGATGCCACGTGGCAACCATGGCAAAAATCGATAAATTTCTCTCCAGGAGCCATCGTCACCGCTGTCCTTGCCAACTTCTTCTGAAGATCGGATCGCTGCTGCTTCATCTACTTGCTGTTTTTCGTCTTTTTATTGAAGAATGTGTGTTTGATAAATGCTTTTTGAAAAAAAAAAAGTTTTTTACTTCATTCCCGACAAAAAAAAATAAAGTTTGATGTGTAGTAGCCTCAGAAGATGCGGGCGATGAGGACCGTGGCGAATGCTCCTGAAAAGAAGATTTTCAGCGATTTTCAGCATAAAAAACATACCCAAAGTGGAGTAAAGAGCAGTGCTTTTCACGGTGGTCGGCGGCTCCTCACCGGAACCGGCTTGAGCTCCTTCGAAGAGAGCAAGAAGACAGAGAAGGAAGAGGAGAGCAATGGTCGAACGGCTCATCATTTCTTTCGGTGCTTACAGATTTTTGAGAGAACTGTGAATCAATTGTGTGGAAGGGGGGCTCTTTTATAGCATGCTTCTTATCAGAGCCCCAGATCTGGATGGGTTTTTTCTGTGGGTTTTTTCGGGAATGGACTTATTTTTTTGGGAAAGTGTTCACGGGGGAATAATTTTGGAATTATAAGGAACAAATGATTATTTTTATGGGTAATGGCGCATTTGCAGTCCACAAAGATATACAAGTGCGCTCTACTGAGAAACAAAAAAGAAATAATTTTCTTTCGCGCAAATTTGAAATCGGTGGTTTTTAAAACGTTTTTTCATGGAGTTTTTAGACATTAGTGCATAAAATAATTGCAAAATAACCTCACAAACTTGCAAAATTTTTCTACTTTGGCGTACTTCGGTTTCTCAGCGGAGCGCAGTTACATACCTCTGAATGAAACGGACTTTTCGAAACTGATCGAACAAATCGTAATTGAAAAAGACTGCAGATAGAGCGCACTTGCTAAAATAACCCAAACAAAAAAAAACACAAAATCTTCGACCCAACCATGAATTCCGTGAAAATCTAGTACAAAAAATCTGGGGCACCTCATCAAAAATCGTGTTTAAATAGCCCCTTTGAATTGGAAAAATCAGAAAACATCAATTTTTCTCTGATCGACTTCCTGGCTCTCCCGATGAATCGCCAAACTCTGTGCATTCTTCTCGTGCTCGTCGCCTGCTTCTCAATTGCATTTGCTATCCCAGAAGATGAAGAGAAACGGCAACATCAACAGAGAGCTGAAGGGGGAACTGGCAATGAAAAAAGCAATGAAATGAGAGCCAAAGACGCAGCAGAATTCAAAGGTTCAGCTACCCTCAAAACTCCTGAAAACGATGAGAAGAAAACCGATGAAAGTGCCACCCCTGCAAAAGGAGCTCCTGCCATTGGCTCATTCTTCACTATTGGTTTGTACTCGGATAGTGCAATTGCGCCCTAATGTCAATTTTTCAGGAGCACTTACCATGGCAGCCGTCTACATTGCATGAGGAGAGAAAAGGTCCTGAAAAATCGAATCACTACATTCACTGCAAGTCTTCTCATAACTTTTTGTAAAATGGAATAAAATGATTTTGAAATTGGCAAATTCTTCTTTTGTACTCATAGAGAAGCTGATAAAATTAAAGAAAAAAAATTCTATGCGCGGGGGGTCGAACCCTCGTTGCGAGATCGTCGGCCGCATGCGTTAACCACTACACCATGCGCGCGAAGCAGGGTGAGCAAGGAGAGGGGCGTAATATCGAAAGGGAATGCCGCAACTGATAGAGCGCACTTGCTAAAATAACCATTTTCATCATTTTTTTTGGTTTCTACAAAAAAAGGCGAAATCTTCGACCCACCTATTAATTCCGTGAAAATCTAGTACAAAGAATCTGGGGCACATCTTCGAAAGTCGTGTATAAATAGCCCCTTCGAATTGGAAAAAATCAGAAAATTACCAATTTTTCTCTGATCCTCTTCCTGACTCTTCCGGATGAATCTTCGAACTCTGTGTATTTTTTTCGTGCTCGTCGCCTGCTTCTCAATTGCATTTGCTATCGAATGGGAAGATTTACAAGCCAAAGAACTGGGAGAAGGTTCAGGTTATGCAGAACCTGAAGGTTCGGGTGTTGCAGAAGTTGAATCTCCAGTTGAAGTAGAACCTGAAGGTGTCTATGATGAAGAACCTCAAGGTTTTCCTGATGCAGGACCTGCAGAAGGTTCAGCTGCCCCTAAAACTAAGGATTGGGAAGATTTAGCTAAAAAGGATGAGAAGAAAACCGATGAAAGTGCCACCCCTGCCAAAGGAGCTGCAGTTATTGGCTCATTCTTCACTATTGGTTTGTACTCTGATACTGCAATTGCGCCCTAATGTCAATTCTTCAGGAGCACTTACCATGGCAGCCGTCTACATTGTATGAGGAGAGAAAAGGTTCTTGAAAATCGAATCACCACATATGGAATAAAATGGTTTTGAAATTTGCAAATTCTTGTTGTGATCACCAGAAAAAAAAAACAAAAAGAAATTCGAGCCAGAGGGGGTTGAACCCCCGTTGCGAGATCGTCAGCCGCATGCGGTAGCCACTACACCATGCACGCGAAACAGGCCGAGGAGGGAAAAGGCCGTAATTTCGTAGGGGGTTGCCGCAACGTGGAAATCTTTTCCCCGTGAAAATCTAGAACTCAAATCTAGGGCACATCTTCAAAAATTGTGTATAAATAGCCACTTCGAGTTGGAAAAAATCAGAAAATTACGAATTTTTCTCTGATCGTCTTCCTGGCTCTTCCGATGAATAGTCGAGCTCTTTGTATTCTTCTCGTGCTCGTCTCAATTGCATTCGCTATGTCTAGTGAGGAAGATAAGCGAAAGGGATCGGCCAAAAATGCTGCACAAACTGCAAGTTTTGCCACTGTGGCAAGTATCGAGGAGAAGAAACCCGATGAAAGTGCCACCCCTGCTAAAGGAGCTCCTGCTACTGGCTCATTCTTCACTATTGGTTTGTACTCTGCTACTGCAACTGCGCTCTAATTTCAATTTTTCAGGAGCACTTACCATGGCAGCCATCTACATTGTATGAGGAAAGAAAAGGTTCATGAAAATCGAATCACTACATTCACTGCAAGTCTTCTCATAACGTTTTGTAAAATGGAATAAAATGATTTTGAAATGAAAAAAAAAAAACAAAAAAAAAATCATGTCGCATGGGGTCGAACCGCCGTTGCGAGACCGTCGGCCGCATGCGTTAGCCACTACACCATGCGCGCGAAACCAGTTACGTAGGGAGGGGGCCGTAATCTCGTAGGGGTCGCCGCAACGTGGAAATCTAGGACTCTAGATCTAGGGCAGTGATAAGATATCGATTATATATAGAATTTCAAACGCGGAAAAATCCAGAAAACATCAAATTTTTCTCTGAGCGTCTTTCTGGTCGTCTCCCGATGAATCGTCTAACTTTCTACATCCTTCTCGTGCTCGTCGCCTGCTTCTCGATTGCATTTGCTCATAAAGGTGGTCCAGATATTGATAAAGCACCACCCGCATCCACCCCAAAAGGAGCTGCTGACATCTTCTCTACTTTAGGTATGTATTTGAAGCAAGTGCGCTCCACTGAAATTGCGTGGCTAGTCAAATTTCTTGTCGAAATTTTGATTCCCCTCCGAAACTTGGGGTTTTCGCAACAGAGCGCGTTTGCTCAAAATGGTTTTTTCAGGAGCCCTCACCACGGCAGCTGTCCTCTACGTGCTCTAGGATGCTTTTCGTATTACTCCTCCAATCGATCCAAACTCTACTTTCTGCAATCAGTATCAGAATTTCTATTGTAAATAAATGATGTGGAAGTTTCTTTGTTCTGAGTGTCGAGTCCAAGCAAATGCGCTCCATTGAAATTTCGCGGAAATTCAAATTTTCCATATCCGCCGCGATGTAAAGAAGCGAAACGTCGCTTAAAATTCCGGAAAAAAGCCGAAAAAAAAGCCGAGTTCATCTATGTTGTCAATGAATGCAAACGCGCTCTACTGACAGTTTTCAGCAGTACTTACGGCGGCAGTTGGTCTCCATGTGCTGTGAAATTCTCTCCAGGCCACTGTGATCTTAGAATATTCGTAAAATGCGCTCGAAAAAAGCAGTAAATGACAAAGCAGTGACGCAGAGAGGGAAGACTGTCTAGATGACTGCGCACTCGCGTGTGCGCGCCCTCTCTCTCTCTCTCTCTCTCGTTCTCTCTCGTTCTCTCGTTCTCTCGTTCTCTCTCTCTCTCTCTCTCTCTCTCTCTCTCTCTCTCTCTCTCCCTCTCTTTCCCACGCGTAGAAAATTTCGCTGGAGCGCGTTTGCTTTTTCTCAAAGTTTCATAATTTTTCCAACTTTTTATTAACCTGCGTGACCTCCCCTTTATCTGATATTTCCATCTCTTTTTTATCCACGTGCCCCCTCCCCGTCCCTCCAAAATCAGTCCCGAGTTTCTATAAACTCAAAGATGAGCCGCACGATTTGGTTGGTCCGCCACGGACAACGCGTCGACAACGTCGACAAAAAGTGGAAGGAGAACAATCCGACGAAATGGGACGATCCGGAATTGACGATCCGCGGAAAGCAACAGGCCCACGAGGTCGGAAAACACTTTGCCAACATGAACATCGAGGCGATCATCACGTCTCCCTACACCAGATGCATCGAGACATCCTGTCAGATTGCGGCGATGATGGAGAACAAGTCGACGAAGATTTGTGTGGAGCCGGGGCTTCAGGAGCCGTTGGACATGTCTATGGATCCACCAACTGTTCCAACGATGGATAAGATTAAGTGAGTGAAAAAGAAAAAAAAAGAAAAAAAGAATTGGAGGTTGTGGGGGTCGAACCCGCGGGGGTCAGCACGCAAAACGGCAGCGCTAACCGCTGAGCCACCACTGCAGCAAGCGCCGCAGCGTTCTAGGGTCGTGATAAACCCCCGCAATCATGCCTACTTCCAGGGAGTACTCCACGCAAATCGACGACTCGTACAAGCCGGTGTTCGAGAAGCTTCCCGCCGAGCCCCGTGGAGATCTCGGATGCGCGGATCGTGTTGTGAAGACGTTCCAGGAGATTTGTAAGAAATTCCCATCGGGAAACATTATCATCGTCTCCCATGGAGTTCCACTCGCCAACATCCACGCATTCCTCAAGGGACACTGGAAATATGTCGGACAGTGCACTATTTGTGAGTTTGCAATGGCGCGCGTTTGCCTCTTTTTTCAATTTGAACTTTCCAGCCAAAGTCACCGATATGTACGGCCAATCGTTCCGTTTGGACTACTGGTCTGACAAGAAGCACTTGTCACAGACTCATGATCTTCACGAGGATGAGAAGATCGTCCCGAGACAGGCACCGGAAAGCGCCTGATGAAATGAGCAAGCACGGAGGAAAAACTTCATCGACAATCAAGTGTGAACAGATATTGAGAGTTCTTTAATGAATTTTTTTTGTATTGAATTGTTTTTTTTTCTTAAGTAGTGAGTTGTCGATTCAGTTGCCCCTGCGGCGTCCAGTTAAGCAAGTGCGCTCTAATGGGATTTTTCTGGAGGGAACTTAAATTTTTTTTCTTGTTTCAGGAGCCTTATTTCAGGGCTCGCGAAAAGTCCACCTCGGAAAAATTTTGCTGAAACTTCAGAAAGTGCGCTCCGCCGTACAATTTTTCAAAATTCTTCGTTTGGAAAATTGTTATTTTAGGTGACATTTTCTGAACTCGTCGCCATTTTCAGAGGTAATCGGTGCGAAAAAGAGGTTTGAAAAAATCAATATTTGCTAATTTCGATTCTCTTCTAACACGAAAAATCGATATTTTGTGGTTGCATATTTTTTTGTTCAAAATTTTTTGAAGTCACAAGGAAAAAACTAAATTCCCAATGAATTTAAAGAAAAGGCATCAAACCAATCAGTATTCGGCAGGTCTCACCACGATCGACAATCTTACTATACTATTAAAAAATTTAAGCAGAAAAAAGGCGTTCCGGAACTGTGAAAAATAATTATTAATTAATAAGAAAAAGAGAGAAAAAACGAGGGAATTTTTCCCGATTTTTCTAGGCTAAAAAATTGCGTCATTTCGAGAAAAATAAATCGATAATTTCGAAAATTTTCGATAAGTGCTACAGTAAACGTTTCTTCGTGGCGAGACCCGCTGCCAAGTTTTTTTTTCATTTTTCGCACTACAATCGATTTGAAAAACACTAGAAAATGAGTTTTCGAAAGATTTTGGAAAAATGTACGGTGGAGCGCACTTTCTGAAATTACGGCAAAATTATTTCGGAAAGGGACGCTTGGCGAGCCCGTGCTTGCGACTACCGGCCACATGTAAAAAAAATCAAATTCAAATTTTTTTCCAGAAAATTTAGAAATTTCCGCGAAAAAGTTTCGACAACCGAACAACCAGAATGCCACGAGAAAACCGCGAAAAAAAAATTCAAAAAACCATTTACAATACACTATTTTATTTCAAAATATATCATCAAAAAATGATGATGGACGGTGGGACAGGAAAGCCTAGAGAACTCGTTTGTAGCGGTGGGAGGCGAGTAGTTGGAGCACAAATCGATCTCTATCCTCAGAAGAAGTTGGCGAGAAGGGCGGTGGCGAGTGCTCCTGGAATATTTGATTGATGTGTTGTTATTGAGGAAGTGCGCTCCATTGACGATTATCAATGGAGCGCGAAGGCATACGGGGAAAATGAACTCACCGAAAGCAGAGTAGGCGAAAGCAGAACTTCCTTCACCGGATCCTTCTGGTGCCGCGGTTTCTTGGTCGGCAGGTGGTGCTGGTGCATCTGTAGCCTGGTCGGCTGGTGGTGGTGCAGGAGTTTCAGGAGCTGGCGGAGGCGTGTTTGCTTTCGAATCCTTTGTTGATGCTCCTGGGTCTGGGGTCGGACCATCAGCATCATCGGCCATGGTGTTGGTGACGAAGACGGCGAGAAGGGAGAGAATGAAGATGAGAGCAGTCGTCTGGCGGTTCATCCTTTCACAGTTTGAGATCGTTGCTCGATGAAGGGAGGCGTATCGATCGATAGACTGAAGTCTCTCCACTGCAATCGCTTCCTTTTATAGCCACGATCTTATCTCTGTCCCAGATCTATGCGGTGTTGGCGGTGACCACGTGGCATCACTGGGGGAGAGTTTTTCACGGATTTATTATCCTTTTTTTGGGGAGTCTTGTTTGTTCCACGTGAAGCCCCTTCTCCCCTCCCCCACCTTTTTTTTTCTTTTCTCTCTCCCCTTCCTGTAGGGCTTGTCGCTCGCTTCTCTGGAGGTGCGCTGTGGCGCAACTGATAACGCGTTTTGCCTCCGTTCCGAAGGTCCCTGGTTCAACTCCCCGTTGGGGTTTTCTTTTTTGTTTTTTTTTGTTTATTGATTTTTTCATAAGAAACAAGTCAGAAAATAGTTGGAAAGGGCCAAAATAGCTGGAAAGGAAAAATAAAAGGGGAAAATCGTGAAAATTATCAATAGAGCGCGGAGAAGTCTAGTATCCATGACCCTTGGTGTACTCCCAGAGACGATTGATGAGGAAGTACTCGAAGAATTGAGCTGAAAAATAAAACAGTGAGCAAATGTGCTCCAATTAAATTGCGCGGGGA